TTAGCCGTTCACGATATTGAATCGTCCGGCGGTATACTCCCTTCCCTTCACCCATCCAATAGACTTTACCTTGATACCGGCTTCCTTGCACCGTGAGCGTAGCTCCCGATGACCCTCCTCCTCCACTACATCATCGTCTTCAACGTATTCAAAACAGATCTCTTCCAAATTTGGCAGGCATACCTTGCGCAGCTCAGGCCAGTCTTTGAACGTGGCTGGACACATTTTCTCGACGGGCTCCTCCCCACTACCCCGCTCGACATGTAGAATTTCTGTATTGATGCTGGTAAGAATTCGATCAGCGTCGTTTCAGGCCATCATCTCCGTTGTCGATGCGTTGGGCAGGAGCTTAAGATGAATCTCAGACACCATTGCCGTGATACGGTCCCCGTGTTGTTCGATAAAAGTAATCCTCTCAATTCCCGCCTCTTCCTGTTGCTCGCTTAGATAGCTCTTATCGTCCCCGGGATCATACGACCGTGGATTGATTTCCATAAATCTAGGATAGAGCTTGCTCTCCTCACCTATAAAAAAAAAAAAAAAAAAGGATTTTTGAAAAACAAAAAGTGTGGAGTTTGGCCTTCCTGTATCTATGCATCTGTATTTTGTCTTTACCATAGACATGAAGTTTCTAGCAACATGTCCAGAGTGCTTCGAGGTCATGTACGTCAGTCTCATTGATGATCTGAAGATGCAATTCCGCCGGTAGGCTCAGTAACGTGGGCGTTGTGGTGATCAAGCTGGACAGCAAGTTCACCGAATAGCCTTCGAAAATCTCGCTGCGAATTCAGTCAAGATGTGGTTGAGTATTTGAGGTAGGCACCAGAGTGTTTGGCTTTGATCTCGGCGCTGTAGAAGCGTACGGGCTTTGTAAATGACGTGGGATGCGGTATTTATGGAGCCAGTGTTGCTTAACAGACTTCGCTCAAAAGGAAGCAAAGTGAAAGTGAATCCAATCACTCTACAGCTAGATCCTGCTTGTCTTAGTCTCTGCGCTTGACTGCTTGCACGTGACAGGTATTCAACTCTTATTCACAGGTCCCCTAAAGAGATACGTCGTACTGCTACCGGGAAACACCACACTGCTATTTTAACATTTACTGCTTGCAACGGCATCATGACAGAATCACATCTCAATCATCAGAATAAGTAGGGACGATCTTTGAACGGGTAATCTCTCTCCACAATCCCTACATTTTGTCAACTACTAAGTCCTACATATCCGTCCTTGAGAATGGGGCAGCCGTTATCTGTCACAAATCTCTGATCAAACCCTCACCTAAAGAGACGCTCTAAGGCGATCAAAGATGGATGGCTTTCGGGCTCGCTCTCCGGGCCACGTTCCCTCGACCCAATGCCCGGTGAACACACAATTCTCGGCGCCAACGAGCGTGCGATGCGTGAGTAGGGATGCATTTCTTTTTCCAAATGCACCACGTCATGGGAAATCGGCATCGTCGACATTTTGGAACGACTGGAGTCGATACCGTTGACAGCGGATACTTTGAGCTGGAGATCATCATCTTGGCTGTTCTCAGGGATTAAAGTAAGACAATAATGCTCATCATTCACGTAGATTGTACAGCTACGGCGTAGACGCAATCGGCTTGCTAAAGCTGATAACGGGATTGATACAGTACGTTGGGGGTGTCCCGTGGCAGCTGCGAGGTCATGGTCTCGGAGACTAGTATGGCGTAGGGATGAACGAGACATGTAAATAGCCTGGGAAAAAGGGTTCAATTTGGAGGTAAGTTGCAGACTTGGCGCTTCAAGGGTATATGCTTGTTCGAGAACCCGATACTTACTAGCTATCTTTATTGGTGCACTCGACGTGCTTGAATGAAGGAGGGTCTAGATGCCTAAGTGTCTTTACAGTTTTGAAACTAGCAGTCTTCTAGCAGCTAATATGCTCCTAGCCCTTGTCCTGTGCACACGTGCGTTTGTACTCTTATGATTCATTTGGATATATCGTCTCCATAACACACCGATCATAGCCAACGGCAGCTTTTCCAAAAGTCACAAGCTATATGACTGCCCTCGTAACCAATAAGCTCTGGGAATCTAGACAGTCGTCCACCCACGCTTGGGTGGCGGAGGTGAGGCCGAGCTCTGCTGCATTTCGTATGTGAGATTGATACCATCGTGATTGAGATCGTCTGGCCGTCCGCTGTAAATGAAGGTCTGCAAAGGCTTTACCGGCCTCGGCAATTCATGCTCAAGCACGTCTAGATTGACGTATCCTTCGTGAACGCCACGGGAAGTTTTCACGTCTCTGGAATTACTTTCCGCGAACGAGGACGGAGTTGGGTTTGTTCCGCCGAGTTTCAGCCCCGAAGTTCCATTGCGGGCGCGTAGGTGGTACTTGAATGAGTCGTAGGAGGGGAGATGGTGTTGCCATGTGTGGGACGCTGCCGGCATGCAGGCACAGATTATGCCTACGAACATCTCTAAGAGACTGGGGTTGCCATCAGGCAGAGCTCTCACGGTGCAGATATTGGTGGTTGGAGACCCGACGGAGAGAAGACTTACGTCACGGTCTTCGCAGGTATGAGAGCCCATGTTTGGTCTCGGGTTCTCTCGAGCCGGACCCTGTAGTATATGCTCAGGACCGAGCCCAGACAAGCGCTACCTCAGCCGGTACTGCATCAGTTCCTGGAGCATTGTGGTAAGACGGCCGGACATCCAACTTACAGCAACCCGGTCGTGAAGATTAGGATGATACCAAGCTTCCGGTGAGTGGCCATTTGCAGCTTACTCACAGCCACGATCGGCAGAACCAGGAGATAGATATCAATGACCAGACCCACAGCAGATGAAGGGACACCGAAGTGGAGATTCAGTTCCTCGCGCTGAGTACTTGTATTGGATAGCCACGTCTGGCCTCTGTGAGGTGTTACAACGATGAAGAAGCACACGGTCATAGCAATGTAGAAGAGCGTCGTGAATATGCCCCCGAGTAAGGCGCAGATCCTCATCCAACGCATCGGACCGAAAATATGGCCATACGTGATGAAAAACGTGATCTTGATGAAAAGGAAGGTTGGTGACAACAGGACTGAGATCAGGTAGACAGACTGGCTCACGATCGTGTTAGAAATGACCCGTGGCCCGGAGCCGACTACCTACGATCACGGTATTTCTGCTGCCCGCTTGGCCTTTGATATCCCATAGGTGGACTCCAATAGCGCCTTCGTGTACTCCTACCGTTTGCGGCGTGTGAGCAGTTGTGGAAGAGGCAGAGTAAGGCTTCTTACCAAAGGTAGCTGCAGCATAACACGTAACTGTGCCAACCTGTGGTGGCACGTGCAATGCTCAGCGTTCGCTGTACTTCGTGCGAGAAAGAATTGCAGGTGACTTACCATGCCCACTACAATGGTCACTGTTGGGCGGAGTCAATAATTCAAGGTTTCATATCGCTATCGGATTTGTCCGGAAGACCTACGATCGTCCAACATATACTTTCGAACAATGAACGTTTTCATGTAGAGCCGGTTAAGTATGAAAATCGTGGCAATACAGAGCAGCAAAGACGTCACGACGATTTCGAGCTTTCCTCGATTTGGTGGATTTGTAAAATTTGGCGTTACTCCCGGTGGGGGTGGCAATGCTGGTAAATCAGAGGAGAGTGACGTCTGTTCGGGTGTTGGCTGTGATATCGTCGTCGATGCCATGATTTGCGAAAAACTGTATCCTTGGTCCGATTTGAACTGGGAAAACTAGAGTGCCCAGTATGGGTTGTAATGACGGTGTTCATCTACTGTATCAAAGAGAAAACGGAGAATAAGCGAAGGAGCAGACCGGGCTAGATTCCGTGCTTAGACACAATTTGAAAGAAATTGAAGATGAGGCTGCAAGGCTGATGACCGCAGAAGTAAGCGTAGGAGTACGAGAACCAGTATTGCAGGCCGAGTAATCGGACGTTTGAAATATCATCTTCTAAAAGAACGCCACGGCGTTTGAAGCCAGCTGATGTCCGGCTCACGTCAGCCTTGGAAAACCCCTCTGAACAACCTCTTTCCCCGCTATGTTGATATCTGTAGATATTTTAGTGTATGGCGACAGCGATACGCAAGCGATTAATGATAGGGTCGCATAAAGAATGTGGGGTGGTATTCGAGGACTGTAGAAAGAAAAACGGGTAATGCAGATAGCTTACGGAGTCCCGCAGGAAAACCGAGTATCGGGCGCAGATGAGTAGACACGTGCTGAATCCTTCCGCTGCGGCTTCGCTTATTGTCTCTCAATTCATCTTGACCCAGATGCCTTGCTAGCAGATGGTGTAAGGTATATAGAGGCCTCGCATCGTGCATGAACGTTGTTTGTTTGTAAGTCTTTTCGAATAACACACCTCTTTCAAAGTTGAACCCAAAGTACTGTCTACTTTGTCATCCAAAGTGGAAGATTGATGGTGTCTATGTGGAGATAGCCGTTCGATCCAGACTAGATCTTTTGGCTGAAAGATCTAGCGGATCTTCTTCGGCTGCTCGGGACGCATCACCTGCCTTTCAGCTACGCAAGTTGAATGAGGATACCAAACTCAGCTTTGCATTTACCAGACTAACAGTGGAGGCGGCGCTGAGATCCAAGAGTCTCAGATACAAGACTGGCCACCGCAGTATGTCGATGCTCGAAAAAGATCTTCCCTGCGAATTGCTCCGTGAATAAGCCGGCTTCTTCTCGAAGGTGCTGGCGGTAGTTTTATAGAGCTTCAGGGATACTACCTCAAGGGAGGGATTCAGAGATGTATAGGCAGCGACGACCGTGAGTAGTGTCTGCGACGCCTGTTAAGAAGGTTTCAAATACCAAACGTACAATTTGATCAAGTCGTGTTCCAAATTGGTTGCTTAGATCAGACTCAGATCTAAATACGGTGCTGGCCTGAAGCAAAGACCTTTTGCTCAGAAATCTGCGGACTTGTTGACAATGGCTCTGGCGTGTCGCCCTGTAATGACCCAGCCGCTGGGTTCTCGGGTTCAGAGGCGCTCTGGATGCAGTGATCGTGCCTTCCTTCTTTCCTCCACCAGTACCAGCACCACCTCCTCCTCTTCAATTCCCTGGATGTACCAGTCTTCATTGTCCGCGGGCTCGAAATGGTAGTCTTCGACTGATGACTCATCCTCGTCGAATCTGAAATACTCTGGCTCCAGCGTGTGTTAGCACTGTGGCTCTTGCAGACGAACTGCATTATATATCCTTCGGAAAGTACTCCGTTGAAGCTGGCTTCTGCAAAATTGACATGTTCACATCGGGAACGTGGGCTTCCGGTTCCAGGGGCTGATCTGCGCATATAGCTCACGGGACCTAAGAGCTGATCGAGGCTTCATACAATGAGATGGGTGCATCTTGAGCTGAGGTCCAGCTTTCACGCGCATGCGCATACGCTCATGAGACAGACGTGTAGGCACGCGCACACTCTCCAGGCCATGAGCATAAACCTCCGCGAAGACTTCTCTCCCTGAATCGAATATGCGTAATGTGCATTCGCTGGCATTGACAGAGGGACTGCAAGAGATCTCCCATGTCACCGGCAACACCGAATTATCGCAATTCTCAAAAATCCATCATCTCGATATAGGTAAGGTAGGTACATGTAGACATGGTAATAGAGGCACACTAGTTGGGCCAATCGGGGCACTTGATTCAATATACCATACGGTAGGCTTAATAAGCACTAGTGCGAGTGCTAGGCAGCCTCTAGCGCTAGGGGCCGGCCCTAGAGCACCCGATTTAGGGAGTCGGTCCCGATTTGTTGGTGTACGGTGGCCGGAAATAGCTACATCAGTAAGTCGGGAGCAACTAATACCAAAATCGGGTCCCCATCTCTCGGCTAAAGTAGGTAGCCAGGTGGATTCTATACAACATTAGCTTACTGACCACCAGGATTGTTCCTGCAGGCTGCAGCTGACTGCAGAGCCAACAGGAGCCGTGCTGCATTATCAGTATGGATTTTTGATTCAACTGGATCCAAACTCGTCAATCGACATGTCAGATCAATGACCCTGTCACCACGTGTCTATCAGACGACTAGCATAGAGTTCAACTGCCCGTCATTACGCATGCCGGGTGCATAGGCGTCCTTGAGAGAGATCTGCTGCATATTTGCGACACCAATGATTCTGCGCGCTCGAATTCGGCATGTTCTTGTCTTTGGAAGTTGTGCCGATGTCGGAATGGGGGGCTGAAGGAAGGCTATGAGGTAGGCTACTATATTAGAACACTGTCTGCTTCGCCGTTTGTCTGTTTTCATCTCCACGCTCTATAGTCGTGCCACGCACTTAGCTCGTTCTAGCGAGAAACGAGCTAGGTGCGTGGCGCCATCACCCATCCAAAGTGAGCCACTGTCGACGTTCCTAGCGGAAGTTTTATTAGTGATCTGCCAGTATGACAGACACACGGGACATGTTAGATCCAATCCATTCATTGATCTTGTGCCGCCGTAGCACTCGTCTTGACTGTGGCACAGTAGTTAGCTTCTCGTGTTGGCGGCGCCCGACTATCAACACAGCGGAGAGCGGTGTAAGGCTAAGTACCAGGCTGCGAGCTGGAAAGGAAGATATAATGTCCTCCTCGACGGCTTTCTTCGAGCCTCTTCACCGAGGAACCTCACTATCATCTCTTTGGACGTCATTTCCCTCTTCCAAGATCAACGTCTATACATTCCGAAAATCACCATGCGGATCTCCACGAAGCATCTCCTCACCTCCCTGAGCGCCCTGCTAATAGCGGCACCCACGCATGCTGACCCCCTCACGCAACCAGCCGCCGCCAAACATGGCACGCTCAGCTTCCAAACCACAGGCAACGTTACCCGCGTCACCATCAACAACGGACCTATAAACATCATCGACCCGAACCTGATAACCGATCTGCTCACATACCTCGTGTCCATCCAACCCTCAACGACCACCACCACCCCCAAAGTCGTCATCTTTGATAGCTCGAACCCTGACTGGTTCCTCGGCCCCCTCGATACCGTTCTCACGCACAACCCCATCACCCAGGACAAAATCACCGCAACGATCAACTATTCCTACCTTGCGCCCCTGCTGCAAAACATCACCACGACCGCCTTCATCGCCGAAATCAACGGCCGCAACATTGGCGGCGGGCACGAACTCGCGCTGCAGATGGACATGCGGTTTGCAGGGCCGAACGCACACACGGGCTTTTTCGAAGACGGGCTAGGTCTCACGGTGGGCGGAGGCGGCCAATTGTTCCTTGGCCAACTGATCAACAAAGGCCGAGCGCTCGAATATCTGCTCTCAGCCAAGGCGTTCGACGGACCCACGGGCGCCGCGCTGGGGCTCTTCAACGAATACTACCCTACTGGAGCCGCGCTGACGTCAGCCGTCAACACACTGGCCCAGCGTATTGGGCTCTTCCCCCAGGACGCCCTCAATGACACCAAGTCTGCGCTCGACAACTACCTCAATCCCTCTCCCGCACTGCTGGCTACCGACGTGACGAATTTTCTCGCGCTGAACGACAATCCGGTGAGCCAGGCGCTCCAAACCAAGTTCCTGGCGCTGTCGGATAACGAAACGGATGGCGCGTTCGAGAAAAATCTCCCAGAGGATATCACGGAGTTGTATCAATGATCGGTCGAAAAGAGTGTCTCGGCCATCAGTGACTGAGGGAGTGTTGGAGATATCAAACAGGTAGCCATGGCGGCAGATTGGAATATTTGTATCGTATAGATTATTCATAGAAATTTTAATCTGGGGCTCTCATTCTGGAACCGTGCTCCGAACCGTCCTGCTTCTCCAGGCCTTCCCCTCCCAAGTCAACACAGCCCAACTCAACTCACCTTTCCACGAGACGCCCAGCTCTAAAGTTATTACTCGCTGCTTGCTCGAGTCATGCTCTAGACAACTCGCCTGCTCAGCAGTGGACCTTAAACGTGCACCAAGTCCTCATGACTCCAATCCTTCCTTCGCGCCGATGACCCATCGACGACAGGACGGAGATGACTAACCCGAACCACAACCTTTATACCAGAGTGCCTACCTACCGCCTACATTCCCTCACTCCGGCCCCAGCTAAGCTGGACCATTATCATCGGACTCGGCCAGTTTCACTAGAGATGGAGCAGCAACACCCAACGTTGGGTGCAAGTTGCGACCAATTGATGCTGAGCTTAGCCAAGCTGTTGATCCCATCCGTGCGTAGGTATTGATCGCTCGCTTGTAGTGCTTATGTTAACGTCAATATCAACATCGACATCAACATCAACATCAACATCCTCCGGCGAGCGAGCGGCACATACGTACTTCCAACAGATTGAAGAATTATAGCCTTATGTACGTACGTACACGCTCGACTCAGCTCAGCTCAGCTCGTCTCCGCACCTCCCTCCCTCCCTCCCTCCCTGCACCGACCCGGTATCTCGCACCGAGTTTTAGTACAGCTTAGTCGCCAATTATCCCACCAGATGATAGGGAGCCTCAGGGTCGACGGAATAGATGAACGGGCTACGGCGGTCCTTTCCTGACCGTGAGATCAGCTGAGGACTACCAGTCACGAGAGCGATAGCTTTGTTGCTCGAATCCGCAGACTGAATTTTAAGGTCAACGCTGTCATCTTCCAAAGATTGATCAAAATCATTAATGTTTTCTGTAGCAGAGTCTGCTCAAGTACCTAGACTTGGGTAAGTCCAACGGAAAGAGGGTGGGACCTGAGGCTCTTGCTTGGGATCTCCTAAACCGATATTGGTTGCTCCGCCGCCTTGGCTTTTGACTGTTTGTTGAAACAGTCATCTGTGATAAGGTGACTGATACAGGTGATGTCGAAATTGAGCCTGGGATTTGAGTTGTTGCCCTTGTTGACTACAAGGAAGATCTTCACGCCACCTCATTTGGCAGGTGTTATGTCTGAACGTCGTTGGACCTTCGAGCTCGACAAGGAATAGCAGCCGACCATAACGATTGTTGTCTGCGCTAACGAGCGTTATCACATTCATTTGGTCATGGAGCGTTAGAACGAAAGGTGTGAGAGCGTTCATATCAGACCTAGCATGAATCACATTCGATGCATCAACCGGGTCCATTTCGGGATGGCACCCTTGAGCGCTGTGAGGCTTCTTCATGTAAAAAGATGCGTGACTTGCGCTACGGGAATCCCAGAACCTTCCTTCTGCTTCAGCCAGAAGGGCGATGGTCTTTTCGATATCTGTGCACTCTGTGCATTTCCGCTACGCCTCACGGCCATCGAGCGCTGGCAATATCTCCTTGTTGCGCTGCCAGTATCTGCACCAACTCTGAGGATCTTGAGACCTGGCTTTTCGAGAATGATTAGAGAAAGCATAGATGCTAGTCGTCAGTTTGCTTGCTTGTAAACCAATCCGTTCCCTCAATCGTCGATGATCAAGTTGTCTCGCAGCGTGACATGACATTGGGCTTTTTCGCCCCCGAGGTTGTTGTGAATGTGATACATTAGACGGGATTCGGGGAACAAATGATTGGGGGCTACTGCAAGTTGGGAAGACTCTTGATGCCGTGATTCGACGAAGGGAAAGTCAGCAACGTACATCAACCCATTCACCTTTTGTTGTGCTCGATCAAAGAAGACTTCGGCAACGGTCTGACTACAGCAGTATCGATCAGGACAAATGGGTGGATCTCCAAAAGAGGACGCGTTCTGCTGACTGCGTGTGCCTTCCTTTGCACACACAAGCAGCTAGTGTATTCTATTCCTGCTCGACCCCGTTTTTCCCTTTGAGACTGCCGGAATTTATGGTCCGGTTGTCTTGAGACTTCATCTATCGATTGCTCTGTACAGGGTAGCTGATCCTCTCTCCGCTGTTGAAAGGACCGATAACTTCAGATCCCTGCCACCACCGCAGTCTGAAACCCTTAGGAGAGTAGAAACACAACATCCGAGGTGTCCGAACTCATAGACTTCGAAAACGACTCGTACTTGGTGCCTGATTCGTCCGTCTCCACTGATAGATAAAGGGGGCCCAAGCGCTAGAGGCAGCTTTCAGGGGCGGACAGCCCGGTGCTGACGGAAAAGAATTTCTTCTGCTTTTACGGCCAGTGTTATTGGAATATTGTATTTAGTCTGGTGCAAGAAGGTGCGTGTAGGAAGCACCACATGCATGTCAGGAAGCAATGTTCCCCCTACGGATCTCCGAGCGCAGACGGGACGGCCGGGCTAGCCTTCAATAGTAATTCCTTACAAAACGGAGTACTTTAAATTGGTAAATGGTATTTCGCCGTATTGAAACTCTGAACTCTGACTTCATAAATAAATCCACGTCTTTCACATTGATCCCTCGCTGCAAACGCGACCGGCACATAAAAGATAAGAATGGTGGAGGGATATTCCAAAACGCATGCCACAATATAATGGGTCATTCCAAATTACAAGATTGTGTTAAGATATGATAGAGCAGACCAAGCTTCGCAATCCTTCCTCCGGGGGCCGTGCCCGGCCCACGCCCGTTCACACACCCAACAGCGTCATTCTTTCACCCTCCTCAACGAATAACACAATACCGACGGGCAGGGACGATGTGACAGCTCCGATCGAGGCAAACTGAGAACGCTGCTTAGTAATTCATATCGAGATTCAAAGCATGGGATTCGATGCAGTTGAGACGAGTTAACAGTCTCCTTGTCGGGCATTACTCGATTGGAGAGATGTTGAAGTCAAAGGTGATATCTCAGGCAGTTCGAAAGTTTGCCGACGTACTATAAAAAATGCAAGTGTTGGACCCGATCATGCAGGCGTGCGGGCGCAGCCCGAATCCTTTTGCTTCGTCTGACTGTTTCTTGACGGGCGCCCGACTAAGCAGACCCGACTAAGGTACATCCCTTCATGAACATCTTTGCGATCTCCTCTCCCCACAATCTCACCTGCTCATGCCTTGTGTAGCTGCATTCAAACACGGACTGACTTTCACCCGAGTCTCTCCCTGTTCGCCAAGGAAATTTCGCTAACAGTGCTTTCCTTTCTGTTCAAGCTTACGACGCTCGCGCGGTGGTGTCACAGTCTACTTGATCCCAACGCCCATTCAGCGTCCCGGCCATCATTGATCTCGAGCCCTTCCCCCCCCCCCGTCGTACCCATCGTAGCATCATTTCCACTGCATCATGCTCACTCCAGTCTACCTCAGCGCCATTGTGCTCGGTGCGTCTCTCCTGGTCTACGTTGCCTACAGAAAAACCACGACCTTGATCGCTTCTCGGAAATTCGCACGTCTTCATGGCTGCAAACCCGCAAAGGCGGATCGCCACTGGGATCCAATTTTCGGTCTTGATTTTGTCATCAGCACCATCCGAGCCAGCAGGGGAAAGTATCAACTCGAGGACCTGTACGAGAGACTCACTCGAATTGCACCAACATTCACGTCGAATGTTCTGGGTGAAACACTGATCTTTACCGATGAACCGAAGAACGTGCAAGGTGTCCTGGCCACGCAGTTCCCTGATTTCGACGTGGGAGAGCTACGCCGACAGGCCACGGTCAAGCTATTGGGACATGGTATTTTCAATGCTGACGGTCCGTACTGGGAGCACTCCAGGGCTTTGATCCGGCCGAATTTTATAAGAAAACAGGTCGCGGATTTGAGGTTAATGGAGCATCATGTTATGCATATGATAAGCTATCTTCCCGCCGATGGGACCCCAGTCAACATCCAAGATTATTTCTTTCGTATGGTAAGCCTCCACATTCCGAAATCTCGTCACCTTTCTGTTTAGTTTTGAAGAATTTCGTTGATCGCTCGTCCGATAGACTCTCGACACGGCAACTGAATTCCTCTTCGGAAAGTCCATCGACTCTCTCCGCCCCGACGCCACGGCCGAAAGCAAGCAGTTTTCCTGGGCTTTCGACTATGCCCTCGGCGTCATCGCGCAAAAGCTACGCCTCGGCCCATACAACAGGTTTTATCAAAGTTTCAAGTACAATGAAGCGTGCAAATACATCCACGACTACGTGCGCCCAATCATCCACAACGCAGTCGAATACCGTCAAGCCAAGAACTTACTCGGCAATGAAGCGGTCCTCGGGAAAGGTGCCGGTGCCGAAGCGAGTATGAAAGCCAGGAAAATCCTCCGTGACGCCGACGCCGAGAAGAGAGCTCTACTCGATAAATATGGCGACGCCGATGAAGCAGCCAAGGAAAACGACAACGACGAGCGCTACGTCTTCCTCTACGAACTCGCCAAGCACAGCGGTAACGAAAAAGAACTCCGCGACCAGGTCATCAACACCCTCATCGCGGGCCGCGACACCACCGCCTCCCTCATGTCCTCCACCCTCTTCGTCCTCTCCCGCCGCCCCGACGTCTGGGCCAAACTGCACGCCGAAGTCGCTACCCTCAACGGCAAGCCGCCCACCTTCGATCAGATCAAAGACCTCAAATATCTCCGAAACCTCCTCCATGAGGCTCTACGTCTCTACCCCGTCGTGCCGATCAACGCCAAGTTCGCCAACAAGGACACCTGGCTGCCTCGAGGCGGCGGCGCGGACGGGCAAAGCCCCATCTTTGTGCAGAAGGGCCAGATGGTCATCTGGGTCCTCTATTCCATGCATCGCCGCAAGGACCTGTGGGGCCAGGACGCCGAGGAGTTCCGACCCGAGCGGTGGGAGGGGTTGTTGCCGGGCTTCAATTTCTTGCCGTTCAACGGCGGTCCGAGGATCTGTCCTGGTAAGTCTATCTTTCTTCACTCGAGACGTTCGCTCCCATCTCTCTCTCTCTCTCTCCTTTCATCTCCTTCTCAGCCTCTCCCTTCTTCTCTGCCCGATTGCGCTATCCTTTCTAGAACCAACAGACTAACATTCCATTACCCAGGACAACAATTCGCCCTCACGGAGGCCTCGTACACCATCGTGCGCCTCTGCCAGCAATTCAGCAAAATCGAGGTCGTGCCCGGGCAGGAAGATCGCCCTTGGACCGAGAGTCTGAACCTGACCTGTGCCGTCGCGGGCGGTGTCAATGTGAGGTGCTGGAAGTGAGTCAGTCAGTACGTAAGGAAGTAAGTAAGTAAGTAAGTGAACGGGGGGAAAAGTTGAGCCATGTAGGAGCTGGCGGGCAAATGCTGGTACAGACTTCGGTGTGGGCCAGCTCTTAGATGGAACTTCAACCATGAATCAGCTGCGCGGGTCGTGTTGGGGGGATGTTTTGGATTTCATGTGGCGTTTTGTTTCTTTTCAGTATCATGTCCGTAGATGAAGAAGGGAATCGAAAATGTGCAATGTCTGTTTGCAGAGTATCCTGGTTTCCGGTTCGTAGCTTCGTCTTCGCTGTGTGAAACGGTTCGCTTTGGTCACGTTTACGTTTACGGAAGTGACTGAGAGATTGTGGGGGTTGCGCTGATTTTGCGTCGTGGGTAAAGTATGCTAGAGTCTCTATGGGATTTTCAAGGTGCGGGGAGAACTGTCAGTCTTTGCTCTCACGGGTCATGTAGTTTACATTGCGATTTCTCGACAGATTTGATGCGAAGGATTTGGCAAAAAGGCTTGTGGGTAATAGTGATGGCGTAGAGGGGTTTATGTGTAATGCTTGCTTTATGGAGTCGCAAGATCGAGGTGGGTTCGATAGTTTGTACTTTCGGTCCTTTGAAAACTCCAACACGATTGTATTCGTATGATCTGTCCTAGCTCTCTCTTTACACGATCTATTCCAGCTAAAAAGCAGACGGAAGGTTCCCCATCCCAGTTCTCACATAATCTAGATTCGACTTGTACACGCATTTCATTCTGAAAAGGATTGATAGTAAAAGAGGTAACGAACGACAGGACCATCAGAAGATCCGAAGCCACAGACCCTGCGGCTCTCTCGGAGAATCTCATCATTCCTCCACATCGTGACGGCAACGCTTCAACATGAACATTTCAATCGTCATCCCGGGACCGAAGCTGCAAGCCATGACGTTCTCTCGGCCCTCGCCCATCTTCCGCAACTGGTCGAGCACGACCAACACGGTCGGGCTGGACGAATTGCCGTGGTTCTTGTAAACGTCAAAGGACGCGCGCAGCTGGTCGTCGTGGAGTTGCATTTTCTGCTGGGCACCGTTCAAGATGGCGATTCCGCCGGGATGCAATGCCCAATCGAAGTCTTTCGCTTCCACCGGTTTGCCGCTGGTCGCGAGCTGGCTGTCGGTGGGGAGGAAGGGCAGCAACTGCTCGAACATGGGGGTGATGGCTTTGAGGGCCAGGTGCGGGACCTCCTTCGTCAGGGTGGCTCGGAATCCGAAGGGATCGGCCATGAACTCCAATTCTTTGGCTGTGCCGGGCATGGTCCTGGTCTCCCAGTTGACCAACGAGTAGACTGCCTTGTCTTTGGCTCCGGGTGTGAGCTCGTTGCTGAGGACAAAAGATGCGGCGCCGTCGGAGAAGAGGACGGGCGAGATCTTGGTCTCATCGGGATGTTCCACAACTTCTTCAAGATCGCATCGCACATTGATGCTGCAGATCTCGCACGCAAACACCAAGATTCTCGCCGGGCGGCCGCGCACCGAGGCCGATTGAGCCATAGCCGACGCAGCACGCATCGCTGAGAGTCCACCGGCACACCCAACGCCGTGCAGTAGCGTCCTGTCGGTTTCCGGCTTCAGACCGAGTTTCTGGGCCACCAAGAGGTCGAAGCCGGGGTTGCCGGCGTTGGTGCATGTCACTGCCACGATGTGGGTGATGTCGCTGGGTTTGCTGCCGGATTCACGCATGGCTTTCTTGCATGCTTGGACAGTCAGATCGACACCTGCCTTGCGAAAGAATCTGTCTAGCTCGGAGATCGACGGTGCCACTGAGCGGCTCCAGAATGGATCTTCGTATGCTTTGATGGTTGATCGACTCTGGATCATAGTGGTCTGGTTGATGGTCAAGAGCTTCTTGATCCTAGATTCGGGGTCATGTCAGTGCGTATTTGTGCGTTTTAGTTTTCCAATTTTACTTACCCTGGAGTTTCAAGGTCATACCACCTCTTTACGAAACCTTCCAGCTTGTCCGGGGGGAATTGGAAAGGCGGGTATTGAGACCCCAAGCCAGTGATATATAGACCTGGAGTCTCCTTGGACGGCGTGGTGGAAACGGGTGTCGTAGATACATCTTCGTGGACAGTAACACTGTAGTCTTGTTTGATATCCATGTTTGGTCCTACCAAGGGTAGCTGATAGGAATCACGAGGTTCGAATGTGAGCTGAGGAGCGATACCGCCATTGGCAGTGGAAACTTCAGCTGCTGCCATTGTGATTGGTGATAAAAGGTGCAGTGAAGTAGAAAAAAGATGAATCTCAATATACAATGCTTGTTTACAGAACTAGGTAGTTGATACCAGCACAAGTTCTGGGACAGACTTGAAAAAGAAGAATGAGTGAAGAGGATCTAGGTGGCCAAGTGAACGGCCTTGTTGCGGCTTCGAGCTTTTATCGGATAGGTTCATAGCCTTGGCTGAGCATTAAGGAACCGATGAAACGCTTGGACAGGTGGCGATCATGGATCAGCGTTTGGAGAAACGGTAGAGTATGAGAATGGGAGGATACGAGAAGAAGTGGGGGTCTAGATCGCAGCATGAGTCACAGACCTGACTTCAATTCTGCACGGATGCAGCGTCGATCCCGGACCTGACTGCAGATAGAATTCACTGTTGGATAAGAAATCCCCGTAAGGTGCCGAGCATGGATAAGCGAATGCAGGAACGATAAAGTATGAGAACTGGGCGATAGGAATAGAAGCAGGGTCTAGATGACAGCAGGGACCCGGACCTAAACTTCACTTCTTAACCTTCTAGACGAATGCCACGTCGACCATAGACCGACTGTCGATGAATGGCATTCCTGTGAACACGTTGTCCAATCCGCAGCTACATTCCGGTCGCAGCCTGTCCGGGCGCAACGTTGTAGTGGCACAGCGGCTATCTTTTCGTTGAACTGCGGCATGCCCGCAAGCAAGTCTGTATAACTGTACGGCCTGTACGCCTGTAAACTTGTAGACCCGGTAAGCCTGTTAGCCCGTAAGCCTGTAGGGCTATAGATCCGTGAGACCGTAAGCATGCAAGCATGTTCTTTGACTCTCTGCTAGGGTCTCTTCCCATTTGTGGCGTTAAGGGAGTAGGATTCATGGTAGACGCAAGGAACGACTTCTGTATTTAAAATGAATAAATTACCGAAGGTTCCGAATACTCTGAAAGGCTAAAATTTCCAGCTAATGGAAATTTCCAGCTGACACTTCAGGCTAAACTTCATCAGGCTCTGGCAAACTAGCACTCTTCCCGGCAGTGGGCGGAATTCGGAAGGCGCACCCCCAACAATTTCCATTTGCCTGATATCGTTGGTAGAGAAGCCTATCCATCCCTTTCGCCCACGCCGCGACGTTGCCTGATTGATTGTCTTGAAGCCATCCACACCGAGACATGCTGTCTTACTCCTCATACAATTGTCAAATTTATTGCAACAGTACCACATATACCTCACAGTCGGGTCTAGATAACGACTCAGCCACCTAATACCCTCTTACGTGAGAATCACCTACAGCGGATGTAATCACAGCATGCACTATTCTATATTGCGACATCTGCCAGTCATACCACCCATTCACCCACCCAACCTTCCAACCGTCCAATCCTCCAACTTGTACACCACCCACCTCTCCACAATTGCTGTAGTCGGGTTTGCCCTTTCACTGCGGCTTACCACAATTATGCTTATCGTGCTCGCTTCATGCTTCCAGGCAGGAGCGCATCAGATGCTCTTGTACCGTTCTGAGCCATTGAATCTCCGTTGTAGGCCTCCCTTAACTTTACGTTGTATCTCCTTCTTCTTCGCCTGTCCTTTACCCTATCACAGCATATTCTCTTGATATTCAACAATCATTGACTTGCCCCGCCTTGCTCCCACTCGTTCCCGTCCCCTTTTCCCTAGTATGTCTCCAGGAATCATTCAAGAGCCTAACGGGCATGCCAATGGCTTTTCCAACGCTTCCTCTAATGGTGTTGATGCCCACATGAATGGGACCACGAATGGGAACACGAACGGACATTCCGAACCTACATCCTCTTTCGAGCCAAACGGGCTTTCGGATGGTGCTTCCAATCATGTTGTCGAGCCGGTGGCAATTGTTGGCATGGCCATGCGACTTCCTGGTGGTGTTCACGATGCCGAGGGTTTCTGGGATCTCCTCGTCAATAAAAGGAATGGCCAATGCCGTGTGCCAGCCGATCGCTACAATATCGATGCCTGGTACAAACCGGGTAAAGCGGGCCATGTCGGCACACAGTATGGATACTTCCTGGAGGATCTAGATCTGGCTCACATTGATGCCTCCTTCTGGTCAATGACGAAGCACGAAGCGGAGGCTATGGATCCACAGCAAAGATTGATCTTGGAGGTCGTGTACGAATGTCTGGAGAACGCTGGGGAAAGGAACTGGCGGGGGAAGAACATCGGCTGTTACGTAGGTGTCTTTGGAGAGGACTGGATTGACATGGACTCGAAAGACGTGCAAAACCACCACATGTATCGCCTAATCGGTTACGGTGACTATATTACCGCGAACCGAGTGTCATATGAGTTCGACTTCAAGGGTCCGAGGTACGCCAAGAACTCGACGGCTTAACGAAAGTGAGCTGATAGCATGTTCTAGTATGACCATTCGGACCGCTTGTTCCTCCTCTTTGACCGGTCTTCATGAAGCGTGTCAAGCTTTGTACAACGGGGACTGCAAATCAGCCATAGTCGGTGGTACCAACATCATTATAACACCACGCATGACGATAGCAATGACTGAGCAGGGTGTCATATCCCCAACTGGGTCCTGTAAGTCGTTCGATGCTAATGCCGATGGCTATGCTCGGGGTGAGGCAGTTTCTGCCCTGTACATCAAGAAGTTGAGCGACGCTGTACGCGATGGAGATACCATTCGCGCGGTGATCAGGTCGACTTGCGTCAACAACGATGGGAAGACGGTGGGTATAACAAGCCCAAGTACGGAAGCCCACGAGACCCTAATCCGCAGAGGCCATCAACTTGCTGGTATCACTGACCTCTCAAAAACGGCTATGATCGAGTGTCATGGGACTGGTACCAAGGTACGTGAGAGACTTTCCACACTCGAATGAACCTAAATACTTCTCGTCCAGAGATGCTGATGGCGCAATACACAGATTGGAGATCCTATTGAGACAAGCGCTGTCGCCAACGTTTTCGGCGAGCATGGTATCTACATTGGCTCGGTAATGTTGTCAGACCTGTGAGAAACGCTGCAGAGGCTGACTGATTAGGTCAAACCGAACCTCGGCCATTCTGAAGGTGCATCAGGGATGTCTAGTGTCATCAAGATGGTTTTGGCCTTAGAGCACAAAACCATTCCTCCTAACATCAACTTCAAGAAGCCTAATCCAAACAGTAAGTAAAATACGGATCTGTTTTTGTTTAGGAAAGCTGACTCTTGTTTGAAGTCCCTTGGGAGCAAGGAAAACTGAAGGTTCCCATCCACGCTACGCCATGGCCCGCAGACCGAGCTGAGAGAGTGGGGGTGAACTCATTTGGCATTGGTGGAGCTAATGCACACGTGAGTCATTTTCAAAGGTAGCCTGGAACAGTCCTGAAGTCTTGTTTAGGTGTTGCTTGAGTCTGCAGCTGCTCATGGACTTGATCGACCGGCTCCGCCAGTTGATGTGAGCGAAGAAAGACCCAACCTTCTCGTATTCTCCGCGACACACCCCGAGTCTCTACGCCGTTTGGTGGACAACCACGCATCATATCTAGGCTCTCATACCGACTCCTTGAATGACATGAGCTACACCCTCAGCACTAAACGCCAACCGCTCTCACATCGTGCGTTCTGTATCGCATCGGAAGACAGTCCTTTGGAGCCGTCACGAATAAACAAACCTACAGAGACCCCAAATCTGGTTTTCGCTTTCACTGGACAAGGCGCCCAATGGGCGCAAATGGGTAGAGAGCTCTTTTCGAAAGAGCGCTCGTTTAGTGACTCTATCAGAGGGCTAGACAAAGTACTTTCGTCCTTGCCCGAGCCCCCGCAATGGACCTTGGAAGGTAAGAGCTTCGTACACGCCCGCGCTTAGCCTACTCTTGACTAATCAATGTAGATGAAATTCTAAAACCGAAGTCACGGAGCCGCCTCTCCGAGGCTGAACTTTCTCAGCCTTGCTGTACTGCAATTCAAGTCGCTTTGGTTGATCTCATGACGAAATGGGACATCAAGCCGGCAGGTGTGGTCGGTCATTCTTCCGGAGAAATCGGCGCTGCATATGCAAGCGGCGTTCTCACAGCAGAAGAAGCCATTCTTGTTGCTTACTATCGTGGACTGGCAACGTTGGGTCTTGGGAAGATTCACCGGGGTGGGATGGCTGCTATCGGTCTTGGTCGCGATCAGGTCACACCATATCTTCGCACGGGCGTTATCATCGGCTGCGAAAACAGCCAGAGCAGTACCACACTGACAGGTGATATTGACACTCTCGAGCAAATCATGGCAACTATTCAAGAAGACCGGCCCGAAGTGCTCGTTCGGGCCCTGCACGTCGAATGCGCTTATCACTCTCGTAAGTACCCAGATGCTTTGTACTATGTCACATCTTCTCCTCATTGTTTCCCAAACAGCGGCTGATGTTCTTAATGCACAGATCACATGAAAACGGTCGAGGCCAAATATCGAACACTTTTGGGCAAGGCCATTCACGCAAAAGAACCAACTGTACCATTTTATTCGTCCGTCACAGGAGGCCTGTTGAAGAACGGCGAAATCCTCTCAACTTCCTACTGGGTACAGAATCTGACTTCTCCTGTTCTTTTCCTCTCGGCTGTCAGCGCCATAATCGGATCACTTTCACAACCGCTGGCCTTTTTGGAAATCGGACCTCACTCGGCTCTTGCAGGGCCGATCAGGCAAATAATCAGGAAAGAGGCGAAGGATGCGCACTACGTCTCGACTTTGGTTCGGAACGAAGATGCGCTGACGTCTTTGCTGAAGACCGCTGGAGAACTGTGGATCAGCAATGTTGATGTCAACTTTGATTCCGTCAACCCCCCTGGCGAGTTTCTTACCGATCTCCCGACTTATCCATGGAATTACGATGGCCAATATTGGTACGAGAGCCGTTTGTCGAAGGAGTGGCGGCTGCGGAAGTTTCCTCACCATGACCTCTTAGGTGCTCGCCTTGTTGAAACCTCTGAGGTCGATCCGACGTGGAGGAACATGTTACGTCTTGATAACGTTCCTTGGATT